TTGGTAATTAGTGACTCAGTATTGGCCCAATGCCTTTTTGGAAAGTTTCTGCTTTTTTGAAAATAAAAAAATGCATCCTTTATGGAAGTAAAATTCCTCCACATGGCCCGAGGTGTCCTATGAAATTTAAATAAATGAAAAAAACATTTTTACTCCAGATTTTGGCCTTGTGCCCAGGCTTAATGGCCTTGTGCCCTAGAAAAAATATGAATAGCCAAGGCCAAAGTGGCTGTGCCCTCCTAAATCCTTATGTCTAGCCCTGTACTTGTGATTACTTACTGATAATTAATTCAAATATTCACTCTTAACAAGATACTTACGTGAACCTCTCAGCTGCTCGTTTTGCCTTCTGCAGTTCTTCATGTCCAAGAGGATCAAGGACATACACCCTTCTCAAATGTGCATTGAGGTACTTTAAAGAGGTAATTTGTGTGTTACATGCAACATAATGGATAATGAAGGGATTTATTGCTTTGTACAATTAGGAATAAAAATGTTCACTGCTTGCATAGAGACTATTGATAGTGGATGTTTGACAAGTTACGGTTTTATTACCAGAACTGTATTACCCTGGTAACAAATGTGGCCAGTATATGCATATTGTCATGGCATGGCGCAGGTGGGAAAAAGATGATGATCCACTGGCAACTCCAAGAGAACAAGGGTTTAATTTCATAGACTGAACACACACATTGGGAAACCACAAATACAAGAACCATAAGGGGTCAGAAATAAACTGGTAACAACAAAGAGTAAATACCATCAAGTAAAACACAACTACTGTAGGGAACTCAGAAAACAGGTAGAATAGATAGTAAGCAGAGCTAAGAACACAAAGTAGCGATGACACAATGACTCAGCAAAGACATGAACACAAGCAGGAACTGAAATACACAAACTGAACTGGGCTAACAAGGGGACAGGAATGAAACATTAGATAATCAACAACAAAGCAGGGACAACAGACAACAGGTGAGTGACCACATTAATGAACACAGATTAGTAAACTATAACATACATTGAAACTAAGGAACACTGATTACTTACGAGAATCACACTGGATTAATTACTAAATCAACAGGTACCAAAAACAAACCAGAACAAGACACAAGCAGGGGGAACCAAGGCCAGAAAACTATAATGCAACAAGGAACATAAATTCAACCACTAAGACAGGTAAAGCTGGTTGTGAGCCAGTTTTGAACTCAGAACCTGCAAGTTCTTTCTCTGAGCCACATACTCAACCCACTAAGCTATACAGCAGTCAAGGCAAAGCGTTCAGTCAAATAATGTAGGCTATTATGGTCCAATGAGTGTGATAACGCCTGCGACGTCACGCATGCGACGTCACGCAGCAGGAAGCAGGTGAAAGGCCACGCTGAAACGATTTAGTTTGGAGAGGCGCACAAGAAGCTGTTGTTGTATGCTTAATTGCTTCGGCGTTCTGGGAGATTGTGCAAAAGAATAACATCATCAGAGACGGGAGAGACAGCCGGTAAGGAGAGTAATTAATTTATATT